TTCTCTGGAAATTTCCTTGTAACGTATAATACTTCTCCATCTATCAATAAACCGTCGTCAATCAATGTTCGACTGTCCCTGCACACTAAAATTTCCAAAATTTTCACACAAAATCCCCAACACATGTTAGCATGCATAAACTGCATTAAGCTGCGCGTAATAAGTTTCATGTGCTGCGAATATCTATATTGTGAATAGTTGCAGAGGAGAAAAAGAAGAAAGGTAGAAATATTCTACGATGTCTGCGATGTCCTCCAATAAGTTGTTGCACCATAGGATGGCAACAGTCATTCAATAAAAATTAAGAGGAAATGAGTTTCACTTAATTAATCTTACATTCGCTTCAATATAGCTGCAAAAGGTTTTATCTATGAGAGATAAAAGATCAGTTGCTATCGGGACGTAGTGAACTAGTTGAGCGCTAATCTACTTCCACATTCACACATTCATAGGAATTCCCTGATTTCTAAGTGTTCCTTTTCATCCGCCATTTTTAAGTAAGTAGATAATCTTACGGTCTCTTTTGTCTCTCATCGTTCTCCAGTTTTCCTCTCCGTCATCTCCTGGATTCTATGTTACCTCCTTTCGTTATGATTTCAGTTAGTTGATTGAACTAGATCAAGTAATATCTCGGTCAAGTTACGTCTATTACGACAAGATTATGATACATCGCGGTGAGGTTATGTAATCTACTCCTTTTATTCCTTGATAAGGTTAGGTTTTCTAGGAATCCCTGGATTAACAATTCCTTTATGAAGTAGCTAATTAAGCGCGAATTTTGCTTAATTGTCCATCTTAATCAATGTGGTTTGGGAAGCAAATCTTTCAGTTGCTGGATACATTACAGCATTCCGAATAGTTTCAGTGTTATGGACTGGAGTTCACTGTTAGTTAAATCCTGCGATAATTCAAGGCTATCGTCGACTATCCCTTCATCTTTGAAATGTTAATTCGTGGGAAGAAATGGCATTTGAAAGTTGTCTGTGTGTGCATTATGTTGTGCATGCACACATAGCACAAGTATTTTCGATCGGTTGTATATGAGTGTTCATGTATTGCTTTTCGTTCCAAATGTACAATGAAGTGATGTGTACAAACACAAACTATAGTGGCTTTCCTTTTCTTTCTGGCTAATCAGTGTTTCCTTACAGAGGTACTTTTTTTTTTGCGAAATGACTAGATTATCAGTGGTTAGTCATTGCACGCAGCAGTTCTTGTTTTCAATTCTCCAGCTGTGGTCAGTTGGATTGCAAGTTTTCTTGAGGATATACCAACTTGAAACAAGAGTAATCAATATGGACTTAAATTTGTTTTTGGAAATTCAAACTCTTGAGATATTTTTGTCCTTGCTTGCTATTTTCGCAGTTATTAAGATATTCGAAACATAATTTAAATAATCTCTTCATTTCAGGTTTTTTGTAGAAACAGAACCGCGCATGGTAATGCATTTTATATTTATCTTACAGTTTCTCTTGTTTCTTTCAATCTCTTTTGTCAGTTGTGAAGATTTCTATCACTTACTTGGAATATCACGTGAGGCCGATAACAGAGCAATTAGAAGAGCATTCAAGAAGTTAGCTCTGGTCAGACATCCGGATAAAAATCCTGTGAGATTTTTTTTTCTTTTATCTTGCATTTTTCCAAGTTGAGATATTATTAGCAAAAATTACCCATAAAAGTAAGATCGCTGTGATGATCGAATGTACCGCATGATGGTGCATCAAAGTCATTAGGTTGTGCTCCTATTCCTAACATTATTCTGATATCATCAAGCTTTACTAAGCTTGCATTAGATTTGGATACAAGACTACTTTCTTGAGGTTGCCTGTTTGGCCGTGATTTTATCAGTTATTAACACTTTATTCATACGTACTTCTAGAATGACGGCAATGCACACAAAGAGTTCATGAAGCTTTATCGTGCTTATGAAGTGTTAATGGATGAAGAACTGCGGAAAAAATATGACCGATATGGCGAAGAGGGTTTGAGCGACAACTTTAAAGAAAACCATCAATATCAGTCATGGCAGTTCTATAAAGATAACTTTGGTAAGGTTCTTTGGTAAATATACAGGTAACTTTGAACAATGTAAATTTTCATACCGATTTTCAATGCAATAATAATCAGTTGGTGAATAGTTCCCATGTAACAGAATGGATTGTAATAAAAAACTCTGAAAAATCTAATGAAAGTACTTGGATTTTTTTTTTTGGTCGTTGAATTATGCAGTATGCGGAATGTGTAATGTATTATAGGTATATACGATGAGGACAAGGAAATAGTAACATTGTCACGATCAGATTTCGAAAGGACAGTTTCCGAAATGGGTGAAATATGGTTCATCAATTTCTATTCTACATTTTGTTCACATTGTCATCAATTAGCACCTACCGTAAGCTTCTTTTTTTATTTGTTTCCTTCTAAGATTCGGACTTCTTTGTAAGTTTTTTACTTCGGATTGTAATGACTTTTTAGTGGCGAAAATTTGCGCAAGAAATGGAGAATGTTCTTCGGGTAGGTGCTGTAAACTGTGCTGAAGATCCTATGCTTTGCCATTCACAAGGTGTAATGAGTTACCCAAGCTTGATGATTTATCCACATGTGAGTTCTCGCACAATATTTTTGGTTTTTTATCTTTTGTTTATAATTTTTAGTCTATGTATATTTTTAAATTGAGTTATAATTAACTTGATATCCACACATTTCGGTATTACATCATTGTCGGGCCATTTTGATGTCTTTTTGCGACCAAGTTTTAGTTTGCAAAATACATTGCTTCCTGATCATGACAAAACTGAGAGTGCTGCGAAAAAGTTAATATAATGGAAAAGGATTTTTCTCACTGAGACTTTTCTTTTTTAAGTAATTCAGTTGAATTTTTGCATATAACATTGATTAGTACCGAAAATGAGCGAATATATTACGAGCACCATAGTCAGTTTTCTGCAATATGTTTTTTTATCTTTTTTTTATAGCGACATTTTTTCCACGGACAGCGACAGCTGAATCAGATAGTAGCATTTGCTATGAAATACGTTACTGGTGTAGTACTGCAGTTGATGGATTCCGACATTGAGCAGTTTAAGATCAAAAAAAGTGAGAAAGATACACGTGGATGGTTGCTGGATTTTTGCGAGCATCAGAGTAGTGACTGCTTGTCAGAATTAAACAGGTTTTTTAGCTATATGAAATTTTTATGATTAATGTGAGGACGCTGATTGATACTTTTCATTGATACTGATTGATACTTTTCAGTAAATACTGTTCGTCATGCGTAGTATGCAAATACTAGCTAAAATGTTACTTTATTTTTCATCAGGCTTTCTTCTGGAGTTAATTTTCAATTAAAATACAATTATTTGTCTTTGCATTCCTTTATTTGTGAGGTTTCTGATCGGTGTTCCCTATTATTTATCATATAACATAGTTTAATTTCAAAATCATTAAAAAGTGTGTCTTGAATATTTAGCGACTAGTGCCACTTATTACATAGCAAAATAATCAGTCTGAAAGAATGCTAACTAGAATTGTTACATAAACTAGACGTGGCATAGATGCACCTACTATAGTGCGGGGGAGTGTTACAACGCTACTCGGCGTCAGATGCATCCTCTGTTTGTTTCATTTGCATTTACTGCATGTATTATAGGCACATTTCTTTTCAAAATCTATCAGCAAGTTTCTTTTTAGTTCAGATGTCTGCTCAAGATGATTTTATACATTTCATTTAAAAAAACTGAAGCAAACTATACTTTCAGAAAGAAACTTGCAGCTAATTTGCGTGGTCTCGTAAATGTTGCGAAAGTTAATTGCGACGAATCAGTGAAACTTTGCACATTATTTGACCGTAAAAGTGGTGTAGTGTATTTCCGACCTACTGATGGAAGGAAACCCAATGAGGCACAGGTGTGTTACATATATTTTGTAAATCCATGTCTTCTCTAGTTCTGTTTCTAAATACACTTAAATCGAATTGGTTTTTCTGCACCTAATTTGTTATACGTTTTGTTATATGCGGAAAATTTTCAGTATTGATAAAATCCCTTCCTTTCAGGAGATTAACAGTTTCGACTTCAAGGAAATAGCAACTACTGTTTTGACATATGTTCCCGATATACCTTATATCGATAAATTGTTGGAGAAAATTGTTGAAGGTGAAGCTTGAACAAAAATTTTTTTGAATTGTACTTGTCAATTTAATTGTTTCCTTTTTTGTTCATACCTATTCTGTTTTGAAGCTCAAATTCGCGACCGTTCATTTCTGGTTAGATTTGGTACCGGTGAAGCAGATAACAATGCAGAGCTAAAAAAACTATCAGCGATATTAACAACTGGTGAAATTGAGGTAACTTTTTCAAACGCAGAAAAACGAGTATTTTAGATTTATATTATTAGATTAATGGCATATATTTCAGTATGATATGGTAACCAAACTTTTCGTTATGAGAAAACTTTTATGACGGTTGCAACTGAGCTAATGATTAACTAATGAGACAACGTTTATACTTATTAGGTTTTCAGGAGATTTTTGAAATTACTATTTTCTGTTCCATTGATTTGACTGCAACAATTAATCAGTTTAATGAATTTTTGCTGAAATAATCATTTAAATAGATGTTAGTTTTGTTTGTTTGATCTTCTCACATGTCGCAAAGTCTTTCTGTCACAGGTGTATTTTGCTGACTGTTCCAAGGCAAAGGATATATGTAAAAACTTGGAACTGACTAGTCTTCCGAAATGGATTCTGTTCAAAAAACAAGGAAGCTATGAAATATATCACGGTTTGTTTTTATTGTATCCTTCAAAAAGATTTTTTTTTATTCTTCTTCAATCGAATCTGATCAAATTCTACTTGGGCTTAATGTAAATAATAAATGTTAGGTGAGGGTTGCATTCAGATTAAAAAGTCCTCGTTAAGAATTTTTAAAATCTTAAGAACTTTTAATGCAGGCAAAATGGAAATTGTGCATGATATTGCCTTATTTGCTATAGAAAGCCATTCTTCACCGCTTGTTACTCTTACGCCCGAAACCTACACATCTGCTGTTAATTCGGGTGATGAATGGCTCATCGATTATTACGCTCCAGTAAGCTACCCATAATTTTTTAAAGGTCTATTAACCCTTGACCTCTCCTGTTTGCGCATTGTATTTGCAGTGGTGTCCACCTTGTTTACGTTTGCTGAAAGAGTTAAGAAGATTGCACAACTATGTGGAAAGTATAAAAATTGGAACTATTGACTGTGATCAATATGGTGACATTTGCAGGAAAGCGAATACTAACGCGTAAGTTTTTAGGATGGTACAAAAATTGTGAGTTTTCTTTTTCCCTTGGAATTTTCCACAGTGAACGAGATTTTTGTAGACAAGATTATTCCAAAGGTCTTTCAAACTTCCTTTTTTATAAATTAATAAAAAAGGGGTATCTGATCTGATACTATTAATTGTTTATGACCAAAGGTATTATTTCGTGCCTCTGAATTTCATTGTGCACTTATAATTTTCGCTTATTTTTAAAATCATATTTTTTTCAGTTACCCAAATATAGTATGGCACAGCGGTGGTAGGTCTTCTGCGCGTGCAGGTTATGTGGACGTCAACACAATAGTGGAATTTATTGAAGTCAGTTCAGAAAATCCTTTGTGCTTAAGGTTCAGAAAGAATTTAAATAGTTTATTGCCAACTATTAAATAACTATTCCAAAAAAAATGTGATCAGGACGCACGTGATCCAATAGTGGTCGATTTGTCACCATCGAATTTTGATCCACTGGTTTTGAACGGAAGAAAGGGCACTGTTTGGTTGGTTGATTTTTATGCACCGTGGTGTGGACCTTGTAATCAGGTATGCATTGTTTTGTGAAGATTAGGGTATCAAATTTTTAAGCGGTAGAGTTGTCTGAATTTGTGCTGACTATTTTGCTGATGTATTTGTTTAGTGTTTTATTAAGTGACACAAATTCTGTTTTGAAATGAACAGTTAGCATAGTTTATAACAGTTAGCACCTGAGTACAAGAAACTCGCTCGAAATATGCACATGAAGAAATTCGTTCATTTCGGAATGGTCGATTGTGATTATCACCGGCAGTTGTGCATAAATCTAGGTGTTCAAAGTTATCCAACCATCCGATTCTATTCTTCTGGTTCTTACACCGTGTGAGTATCAAGCTTTCATTAACTCTCTTTATTGTTGAAAAAAATGGTACACATATGACTTGAAATGCCATTATGTGATATTTTCTCATTTGTATTATGTCGTTTTGACGAGTGAAGTTGCAACTCTCTGTTTATTTATAATTTGTTGAAATCGTTTTCTATGTGGAGGCTTTTATTTTTATATGTTTCCTTCGAAGAATTAGTCATAAAGGTAGGCTTATAGAGATTATCCTACAAACTGGTGGCGCGATCACCGGTCCATGGAAGTATGGCTGAGAAATTATTTACCATCGAGAGTTATAAGCATCGAGAACGATTTCTTTGCCAAGGTGTTAGACGATAATGAACCGTGGCTGGTTGACTTTTTTGTCACTTGGTGCTCACATTGCATTGAATTTGCACCGGTTTTTGAGCGTATTGCCGAGGTATGTTAAAAAATGAACTTATGGTTCTACAAAATTTGAACGGATGCGGAAAATCGATAAGCAAAACCTTTTTCAGTCTCTATTTTCAACATTCTTCTATGAATTTCTTTCGATGTTTATCTTGTTCCTATTCAACACGTGGAATAATAGACTACCACGGGAACCAGTTATTTTTTGTATTAAATACTTGACAATTTGAATTATTGGAGTGGTATTTGCATGAGCACTTTTGTTATATGCAAATCACTTCCTGTGCCATAATTATGTTTTTGCACGCTTATTTAGCAGAAGTGTAAATAATGGCACTTATTTGTATTTTTTTTCATAATTTGGTTATGTTTTTTTTTAATTCGATTCTTTTTCAGGTTTTGGAGGGTCGTGTAAAGCTTGCAAAAGTCGACTGTGGACTATGGCCAAACGTCTGTCGAAATGTTGGTGTGACCGCTTACCCAACTGTTCGATTTTATGGTGGCTCACGAGGCAGCCATATTCAAATAGCTACTGGGGTTCGTATTGAATCGCAACATGCGGATACTATTGTGCGTCAGGTTGAAAAAGAACTGATTAAGATAGATCGGCTTTTTAAGATTGAACTATAACAGATCATTTCTCATAGATCGAATACCTGTTTCACTTCTTTGTCCTAAATTTTAGCCGGTCAATAAAGGATGGAGAAATTTCTATTTAATTAATATCTTATTTCCAGTTATGGGACTGCCAGTGGCTAGCAAAAGAGATCAGTGAAATCTAAATTTTATATAAAACAAAAACCCATAAACGCCTCTAAAATCGATTGAAATATTTTTACATTGCGGTATTAATAATAAATACATGTACTTGCTTGTGTGAATTCTGTTGACTTGTTTAATATGCCTTCATTTTTAATTTGTCCTGATATTTCATATCCTCAACTGCAGAAATTTATTTAAGATGTTACAGTGTCGACTTTGAACATTTTAAATCCTGTCCTTTCTCTAGATAGATAATTCATCTTTTGCGGTACAATAAGAGCATTTTGTAGCATTTTGACACGCATTCATGTCTTTTTATTCTTTTTCGCACAAGTTTCTTTAGATTTTATAGAATTATTATTCTTTTTAGGTATTCGTGAAACCTGAAAGAATTCCCAATTCCTTTTTTCCGCTTATTTTATTTGAATTTCGGAATTCATGTTTTCGAAAATTTGTTTACTGTCTTTTTGAATCAAGTCATCGTTGGTTTGTTATATGAAAATTATGTTTTTTTGATTTCGGCACCTCTGTATGCCATCGTTTCACTTAATTTATCAGCATTATCGTTACGCCTTTTATGGTCGAGGTTTATCAAGTTGATATTTAATTATGATAAAAATGTTTTTTTTTTAAAAAAAAAAAAAAGAAGCCGAAGCATGACAACACGGGGTGAAAGCATGTGTCCAAATATCTCGGTTATGTTGATGATTATAAAAACTGAGGAAATGAGAAGATAACATCGATCGAATTCTAGAGGTAGGGAATTTTGATTGTCTTTTTATTGGTTTAACCGACTTTTCAGCTCTTTGGTACAGTTTGTTATGCATGAAATATGTCTAGAAGGATTGTATACATTTGTCATGTCTGGTATACTTTCCAAAATGCTCGAACAAAACAGTTGGCTTTCTATGATGAAAGTAAGAGGAAATACATCCGCCTCAAAACACATCTTCGCATTTTTCTTTTTTTGTGATTCGTTTTGAATTGTATCGAAGTCTACAATATATCGCGGCATATTTCGCTACTATAAGTTCTCCCTTGTCATATTCCTCGTATTTCAGAACTAGCTTAAGATTAAGTTTAGAAATACATTTCCTATGAAGATATCCTTAGCAAAAAAAAGAATTTCACTGCTGTAACCTTTGGTAAGACAGAAAAATAAAGCGAAACACCATTCTTGTAGCAGTTGAAGAGCATCGTGGAGTAGATAATGTTAACCACCAAAAACAAACATATGCTGGGGTTTGCAGCTTTTCCGGTAAGTTCCTCTTACTGCATCCCTCTACTTTCAAGCCTCGGTAACTCTCACACAGATCATCGCCAGTTTCTTGTGGCATAAACAAGTGTTGTACTGTCATGTTTTGCACTCCGCTAGTCAACGACTATAGAGGAGACGTCGTCGATTTCAGCTTCAAAAAATGCGCGCCTTAGTGCATTATATCTTTCGAGCTAGAAATAACTTAAATTCAATTTCATCCATTCTCCTTCATTCCGTCACACTTCACTGCTACTGGAAGCCTATCAGTATACCAATTATAATTCATTATTTAACCACTGAAGAATTCCAAGAACAACAAGAAGTGATTTTTGATCCGGAATCTTGCAGAATGATTGTGACAGTGAGGTAACTCTGATGGTGGATAATGATAAAATCAGATGCAACGGCTGTTTATCATCACCTGCAGTCGTGACTTACAGAACACACTTCTGCAATTTACAATAACCTGCGAAATTGAACTTCTTGACGGTCGTCATTTAAATGTATTCTCAGCAGAGATCATTTTGAAAGAATTATATTCCATCCTTTCATTGGCAGTATCTAAACATTAAATCAAGGAAGATTACACAAACTTACAAATAAAATAAAATAAAGTGAAAATGCCTGCAAATAAAAACATGCAAATAGCAGCAGAATGACTATACCAAAAGGTATGAAAATGATGTTAGAAATGAGATAAACTGAATTTATTCTAGTTCTTCTTCTAGCTCCACAATTATCAAGTTAGTTACCAGCATTCTCATTCGATCTGTAGCCGTATTCAAGAGAGCTATCATGAATGTTGTCGATGATGCTACTACCAATATTGATTTCGAGAAAAACACCCTTTTATATTAATATTTCCTTTATAAATTATCGAAAATTATCAAGGAAGCTTTAAATTTAAATTAACGTAAAAAGATATTGCTTCTGATGTCAGTGATGTGATTTGATTAATATAAATCAGAAAGAAACACACTGAGGAAATCAACATGCTTTCTGCAATATATGTCGTTATAACACTTCACTGGGATAAAACTGAATTCACATGAGTTAAGCAAAAATGCTCAAAAATACAACTGTTAAGTTTTCGACGGTTTCACAGAGTGAAGGATTTTTTCGAGAACTTCATTACCATTTTACTTTAAAATATTTTTATAAAGTAGGGGAAGATAGTTCGGCACTGGAAACATCGGATATTCAGTTATTTGGATTTCCAAAATCCCAAATTATCTTTGTGTTTTGGGAAGTCTGTCATTTCTGTGAAGCGAACCAAATTAAAGGATGATATTCGACTAATATCATGAACTTTAAGTGGGCACTGAAGAATTTCAAGGGACTTACGAAGACCAGTTTTTTTAGAATGAATGGAAATGTGGTGAGCATGGTAATCAATAATGATCGAATAAAACACTGAAACCATAATAAGCCGTTTTCCGACTTATATTCAGGAAGAATTTTATAAAATAACAGGGCATAGAGTACAATTGTAATGTATCTCCTCATGCTTTGCCAGGGTACCTAAAATGCAAAGAGAAAGCAATGAAAAAATAATCCAGCAATTTATGAATTTTATGAAGTGTTACATATATATTTTTTATAGAAATAATGAAAAACAAACTAGCTTTTAACAGTCCATTCTCCACTAAAGTGTAATCCGATAAATCCATTGGCACTTCTAAAATTGAATCTTTTTTCTTTTTTTTAGAAATATCAGTACCAATCTCAAGTAAACATAACTTGAATTCCGTAGGTTTACTCTCGAGCGAACATTGCAAAAGATTAGCAGTTCAATGCAAAACAAAATTTATGACATTTGCTTTCTCCTTCATTCGCATCAGTTTTCAAATTTTCCGCCAGGCCATTGTATATCCAAGATCCAAACTGGAAATTCATTAATGAATCCTTCGATAGTTTGGATTAAAATTTTAGGAATATTTTTAAGCAAAAAAATCCAAATTTTAAATAACATGTCTGGTTATCGAACAATAGCATCAGGAACTAGATTATGTCAATTTTGTAAGTATGTACGAAAAGTGCTTGGTGGAATCCAAGTTACTTCACCACTGTTGTATACCAGTATTTGGCTTTTATAAGTTGAGTCGAAATTTCATCACTACTAAAAAAAATTTTCAGGTGTAGTCGTCAACATTTGACCAAAATCATAGTTTTCAGTTATTCTGCAGTTGTATTTCCGGGATCATAATATTTCTCAGAGAGTATATTTTATCCGCGGACTAGTTGGAATTTAAATTAATGGAACAGATGACAAGTTTCAATAACAAAACCGATAAATATGTTAGGTCGTGAATATTGAATAACTGGATTTTTATAAATTAGCTGATTTAAAAGGTATTAGTTGATTGACTAATTGATTTAAGTCCCTTTCAAAAAAATTGCTATTAACGAAATAACTAGTGGATATCTATTGTGAATAAGAATATCGGGATGCCAAATCGTGTCATTTCCAAATTGCACACTGTCAATTTGCTTATATTCTGAATTATTCCACTCAAACCGGTAACCATTCCATTTCAAAAACAGGAATGTTTAAATTTATTATTTTTTGTAATTATAGAACTAGGCCACTATTTTCGTAATTATAGAACTAGGCGAGTGAAATTTAAAGGAAATTTAAGAAGTTAATCAAAATAATTTTTGCCACAGTAATATTCTAAAGAGAGGAACTGTATCGGTGAATATCAAATGCAATTCAGGTAAATTTCACACAAATAACTTACATACTAAAACCAAGCATTTAGCCCGAGAGTTCATTTCGATTATTCTGAAACTCATATCTTTCGGATGAGAAATTTTATTGGTACTAGATAAACATAAAGCATAGAATTATTTATTTGTATACACATGAATAACTTAAGGAATGTAAACCGCATGTAAGGAAAGCTCCATGGAAGCTACGAATCTTTCAGATCTTAACGGAATCATTTTTTAGATGATGGCAATTGCAGAAAATAAGAAATATGAAACACACTGCGAAGGAATTATTCTAAAGAAAATGTATAAATCAGAAAACCGATTTACTGCAGGTATAGCCTGACTGTACTTGGGCCGTGTTATTCGCATTTGTAACCGGACGAGCCAATTTGTTTAAATTATTCAGCAATTTCCTGAAAATAAATTTGAATAGTAATTGCAGGCAATATGAACAACTCATTGCCTCCTCGTCTCAAATATTTCATTTTTTTTCTTTTTCAAATAACTCAGAAACTTCTCATCTGGTCCATTTTTCTAAAGTTTAGTTCCTAGCTGAAATCCTGAACTTAACGACCAAAACTTTACAATCAGCATGGTCGGTCAACTGATTGAATACTCTATTATTTCGAAAAAAAAGATTATTTCAAATGCAAACACTTTTAGCCCATTTAAAACCACAAGTGAACTTAATATCACTAAGTGAATCAAAACAAACTGCACCCCATAGTGCCAGAAGAGAAGCAGATGTCCAAAAGTTTGTTGCGCAGGTACTACACTGAAGATCAAACAACTTACCCATATAGTTGACGTTTTAACAAACTCGCACAGCAAAATTGAAGCAGAACGAAATGCAAGAAAACCAGATGAAAACACAGTTCCTGACATTTCAACCAATTAATCGAAATATCTTCACCTCCGATCTATTGTATCTGATTTTATTTACCAAGCTCTTAGAGTTAGTTTACATGCTATACTACACCCATTGATGTATATTTATAGCTGAACAGGATGCCACATTCTTTTCGTCATTTGCTCAGCTACATTTCAGTGGCATTAATTCTATCTATCCATCATATGAATTTCGCAAAACCTGAAATTTATCTAGCAGTTGGATTAATACGAATGGATAACGATTGGATGTCTACGCCAGCCAAAAAAAAACAACGGATCTACAGCTGATCATGCATATGCCTTCAATATTCAATATTTTCGAAATACAAAACAGTGAAACAATCAGTGTCCGGAAGTTGCTGTTTTCATGAAATTGTGTGTATTCATGTGAAATAATGGTAGAGTTCGTATGAAAGCTGAGTTTTAAATGTTTCTTCCCGTTTCTGGTTGAAATCTTTTTAGCAAAACTCTTTACTGGACAGAACAAACATCTGTTGATAAGACACTACTAAGAACCACAAAGTAGTAAGGAAATACAAAAACGTTATATATCCTCACTTAATAGCTTGGCCCTTTCCTTGCAGAATATAACACAGCTAAGTGCTCAGATCCCTAAATCTGATTTCCACTGTGAATGAACCAAAGTTTAAAGTTTTATTACGTCCTTATTATTCTGTTACTTTGGTCATTACAAGGCAACGAGAAATAAATTCAGAAATACATATATCATAATTCTAAAAAGTTGGAAATGAAAAAATTACAAATAAAAATCCTTAATATGGAGTCAAAAAGTACAGTTCGCAAACTGTCGGATTACCGAAATTAAAGCTATGTTCAAATAAAATTGCCACAGTATCTCCAACAGACAGGTGACGAAATCTTGCAAGTAAAATTAATGCGATGAAGAGGATATAAGCCAACACAAAAATATCATTGTACCTACACAATGTACAATGCCAAAGGCTAGCCATACTTCCATGATAAACCCGATGGAGCTTACAAACTCCTCCCCAATCCTTATATATATATATATATATATATATATATATATATATATATATA